AAAAAAAAAAAAAAAATAAAAAAAAAAAAAAAAAAAAAAAAAAAAGATTAAGAGATATAGATGATATATTAAATGAAAAAACAAAAAATAAAAATGTTTTTATAAGAACAAAAACATCTTTATTTTATGAAGAAATAAGAAATAAAGAAGGTGGCACATGTACTGATGTAAATAGAAATATGAAACAAATAAACTTTGAAACGTTTTATAAAGATTGGCAAAATAATGATGAAAATAATACAAATAAAATTAATGATATTATAAATTTAGAAATACATAATGAAAAATCAACTACCATTGATTCTATTTATGAAAAAAAAAAATATGATATAAATGAAAATGAAGATGATTATGAAGATGAAAATGAAGATGATGATTATGAAGATGAAGATGATGATTATGAAGATGAAGATGAAGATGATGATTATGAAGATGAAGATGAAGATGAAGATGATGATTATGAAGATGATGATGAAGATGAAGATGATGATGAAGATGATGATAATGATGATTATGATTATGAAGATAAAAAAAAAAAAAAGAAAAATGTTTATATTGATAAAAATAACATATTTTTGTTAAATATATTACATCATCAAAATAATGTTTATTCAGTTAAATGGAAAGAAAGCTCCTATGAAGGATTTTCTATTTTAGTTTCTTTATGTTTTGATGGATATATGTATATATGGAAAGAGAATATGAATTGTCAAAATAAAATTACTTTTATATCTATATGTAGAATATATATTCTATTTTTTGAAAACATAATTAATAATATAAAATGGCTTTGGGTAAATAAAAATGAAAAAAATGAAAATTATAACTTTTTTTTAAACAATAAAAATATAAATATATCAAAAAACGAATATTTAATTGTATATGGTTCAAAAAATGAATTAAAAGAAAATAAAGAATCAGATACTTTTTTATACAAAAAAAATAAAATTAAAAATTGTATATATTTTGACGAATTTAATGACAATAATGACTCAAAAGAATATATGATATTTTCTGTGTATGCTATTTTTAATATATATGATAATAATATACATATAAAAAATATTTTAAATTATGAAAATGTTCCAATTAATGTAAATTTTGATTATATTATTGATTCGAAATTTGAATATGATTCAATGAATACTTCACTCATTTCTATCTATACTGATGATACATATTTACCAGATAGCGAATATAATATAAAATATGGAAAATGGAAAATAAAAAAAATAGTAGAACATTCAAACTCTTTATTTACAAATAATAATTATTCTTATAATAATTTTTTTAATTTAAATGAAACTTGTTTTTCAAATTTTTCTTTTGATACTAATCCTAGTGATTCCAATCTTTCTCATAAAAACAAACAAAAAACAAAAGAAAAAAAAGAAAATGACTTTTTATTATTTCAAAAATTATTAAGTGCTATTAATAATTTAATGCCACCATTTTCAATAAAAATTTCTACTTATAATTTTGATTTTTATAAAATTTTAATAAAACCAAGTGATATATGGATTAAAAAGGGAAAAAGTATAAGTGTTAGATATTTACTTGATTATAAAAATTATGATCTCCCTCAAAAATACAAAAAAAAATATTCTTTTAAAAAAAAAAATTATGAAGAACACTATTGTATTGATTTTAATATGTATCAAAATGTTCTTATTTTAGTTAATAAATTAAATAATAAAATGTATTTATATAATTTCCATGGTTCATTAAAAAAAAAAAAAAACTATAAAAAAAAAAATAACGATTATCCTATCAGTAATGAAATCTTTAATAATAGCAATAAAACCAATAACATAAATAATAATTTTGATAGTAATATAAATAATTATGAAAAGACATATTCACTTAAAGAAGATATATATCATAAAGATCAAAAATCATTTGAAAAACAACATTATCAACCTGAAGTACATTCGAATAAAGATAATAAAATAAATGAAAATAATAAAAAGAATTTCTATGAATTTGATACTTTAACTACTGAAAAAATTAATGATTTTAAAGATAATTTTAATAAAAAAGAGTTTCATTTTAGTAAATTAGGAAAAGAGTATGATGATAATAGTTATTTCAAATATGAAAGCGATAACTTACACAATTCACTTTGTAATAATAACGATTACTCAAAAAAAAATATATGTAACAAAATAAAAAAAAAAAAAAATGAATTTACTCTTATATGTTGTATAAATAGTATGTATATTGATAATCATTATATTTTGAAACACAAAGAAATTAATTTTTTAAGTAAAAAATCACATTTTATATATAGTTATGTGTATAAAATTTGTAATTATTATGAAAAAATAAAAAAAAATAAAAATATTTTTATTTCAACAAATGAATTAATAGAAAAAAAAAGTGTTATTCCTTTAGTTTATAAAAGTCATATGATAGAATCATTTGATTCTTTTTTTCTGTTAATGTGCATTGATAAAAATAGAGAAAATATTTTTGTTTTGAAATCAGAAAAAATGAACATTGTTCATAATATGAAGATGCTTTGTATATTTGATGAAGATTGCAATATATCTGATACAAAAGAAAAAAAAAAATTAGAATCAAAAACTAATAATCATAAAATAACATTAGATAATAATAAATATATAGATAAAGTTAAATCTGATTTAACTCTAATTGAAGGGAAACATTTCAAAATAATTGATTATATGATTAAAGATTTTCATTTATGTTATAAAAATAATGAACAAAACTTTTTACTAATTATTAAATATATATATTTAGATCAAAAAAAAAGAAAAAAAAATATTTATTTACTTTTATTGTCAACATTAGAAATTTGTAATGGAACATTTATATACATAAATTTAAAATTAAAAAACATATTTACTTTTTTTAATCCATTAAAATCAAAATTTATATTTTCCTATTTTTATTTATCTTTTCAAAACACATTTCTCTTTGCAACAAATCATTTCTTGAAAGCAGATGACTACAAAAATATTTCTAATTATGAGTTAAATAATGAAAAAAGTTTTTATAATTATTCAAATAATGCAAATGAAAACTATTTAGATAATCAAAAGAATTTACATTATAATAGCAATAATAATTGTGTAAATAATATATTTGATGAGAAAAATGATGACATATTTTCTTTTAAAAAAAAGGAATTAAATATTACAGAAAATAATAATAATAATGCAGGTAGAAAATATGTTTTAGTTTTAAATGATAATGATTATAATGATGAAGATGAGAATTATTTGAAAAATAACATAGAGATAGATAAAAAACAAAATAATCATATAGATATCCTTCTTAATAATAATAACGATGTAAAAAGTATGGATTTCAATGAAAACAAACAGAAAATAGATTCCGTTAATTTATATTTTTTTTGTGCTAATAAAGGACAACTTGTTCATTTTTTTCAAATTAAAAATATTCATAAACTTTTTAATGTAATTTTATATGATAGCTATATCCTACTAATTACTAACAAAAATCTACACATTGTAAATTTAAATACAATATATAATAATTTATTATATAAAGAAATAACTTATTCCCATTCATTTGATTTTCAAAAAAAAAAAATTTATATGATATCTTTACTTTTTCCACATATATTGAGAAATCAGAAAAATAAACTACTTATGAAATGCACAAAAAAAAAAAATATATACTTTATAGTATTAAGTTTTCTATTAAATGATGAGAAAATTTTTAATAGTAACTTTAATAATAATCAAAAAAAAAAAAATAAAATAAATGAAAACTATTATGCATCACTCATTCTTATTAACACTAATCATGATGAAGAATGGAATATATTAAAATATGAAAATAGAACATTTTTTTTTTCAAAACAAATTTTTTTTTTTGAAAACGTTTTATTATTATTAAAAAAATTGGACAAAAATCAAATAAAACACAATTTAAAAGAAGAAAAAATTACTAAACAAAAAAATATTGTTAAAAGTTATTACAATAATAACAAAATATCATTTCATAAAATAAATTTATACAAGAAATTTAAAAAATATAAAATGAAACATGAACAAATAAGACAAAAAAATATGGTTTTTTATCATCCAATTATTTTACTGAATTATATAAAAATAGGTTTATTTTCACATGTAAATTTAGCTTTAAAATTATTACTAAATATTTTATTAACTAAATTTTTTAAAGAAAAAAATAAATACGTTATAAAAAAATATTGTTCATTAAATATTATTTTAGAAAAAAATATATCAGAAAACCACAGTTTTTATAATTATAATGAAATATCATATATATATGAAAGTCAATTTTTATTTGATTTAAATTTTATTAATACTGAGATTTATAATTTATACAAAAATGAAAAAACTCCTATCAATGAAAAGAGAAATTCACAAGAAAAATCTTATATAAAAAAAGATGAAAATAAAGAAAATAAAGAAAATAAAGAAAACAAAGATAAATCGATATATTTATTTGAAAATGAAAGTGTATCATTAGATGATTTTAACTTAAATTCTGAAAGCGAAAAATCTGAAGAAAAAAAAGAAAAAGAGGAACATAAAGAAGACAAAGTTTCATTATCAAATGAAAACACAAACGATGAATCGAATGAAGAAGATTATTCTAATGATGAAAATGAAAATGATCATAAGAAGGAAATAGAAGAATTTAGAGAATTCCTAAAATATTCTAAAGTTGTAAATTTTGAGTTAAATTTAGATGAAATAAAAATGCTTCAAATATTAACATTACATCTTAATATTCCACATTTAAGTAATTTTTTTCAGTTAATTTTATTTTGTATATTAAACTCTTTTTATAATAATTTTGAAAACGATAAAAATATAGAAAGTGATAATGCTTCACAGAAGGAAGACTACGTTGCTTGTCATTGCGAATATTTTAATTTGAATTTAGGAAAAGATATTACAAGAAATGAAAACACTTACATATATGAATATTTAAATAATAACAATGAAGATATTTTAAATAAAAATAATTTAACATGTATACTAATTTTTTTCTTTCGTTTTTATATAAACTGTTTTTTTTTACTAAATATTAAATTAGATATACATTTTCAGTATACATATTTTTTTTATTTTATGAATGATAATATAACTTCCTATATATATTATTATTTAGAAAAAATTATTAGTCATTATAATTATTGCTTTCATTTTGAAATTAATGAGAGAGATTTATTTAGTATAGATATATTTGACAGTAGTTTAAATAATGAAGATAACGATAGAAATAAAACTTTTACGGAAGAAAATAATAATTACAATTCCTTTACTCGTTTAATTAAAAGAAAAAAATTATCTTTTGAAGAAAAAAATAATAAAAAGGAAAAATTCATAGAATTAAATAATATTCAAATTAATAAAATATATAATTCTGAATTTTTACAAGAAAGAATATTGGATTATAATTTTTTTAATTTTTTTAAAAATTGTAAACTTTTTTATTTTGTTATTAATGAAAAAGATATACTATTTATATATGATATATTAATTAATAGAACTATTAAAAAGATAAATAGTTTAGATATGGAAGACAAAGAAAAGCAAAATGAAATAAATGAATGTTTAGATTTTTTAGCTTTATTATATATGGCTAAAAATGAAAAGCAGAAATTAATGTTATTTTATAAAATAAAAAAACAACATAAAATTTTTGATTTTTTATCAAATAATTTTAAAACAGAAAGATGGAAAAGAGCTTTAATTAATAATTCATATAAATTAATGCAAATAAAAAGATATTACTTAGCTGTTGCTTTTTTTATTTTATCAGGAGATATTAAGGATGCAATTGATGTTATACATCAATACTTGGATGATACTCAGTTAAGTATTTTTATTATTAGACTTATTTATTTCTCCTATTCATTAAATGATAAAGAAAATGACAAAATTAATAATTTCGGTCAAACAGATAACAAAGTTAATACTATATATAATTCTTCCTTTTCCGATAGACATAATTTCCCCATTTCAGATAAAAATAACAATAATAATAATAATAATGAAAAAAATGATAATATGCCACTAAATATAACTTTTGAAAATACTAAATATAATGAGGAAATAATTAATGAAAGTATAAAAGAAAAAGATTTTTGTAATGAAGTAAATTTTAATTTTCTCTTCAAATATTTAGATTATATTTTTAATGACAAAATAAATTCGAATGATAATATCTTTTTAAGTATTATTAAAAATATTATATTTAAAAATTATGAAGAAGTATATTGTAAATGTGAAAATGAAGAATTAAATAGTTTTTTCTTTTTATCATTGAAAAATATTATTAAATATAAAATGATAAACGAATTAAATAAAAATAATAAAGTAATAAAAAACACCACTTCAGAAAATATGAACAATTTCAATAACTATAATATGATAAGCAAACTTGAATCTTATTTTTATTCTATGTTTTATTTCAATAAAAAAATATATAATTTATCCTTTATTTTTTATTTTATTTTTTTTCAAAATTTCAAATTTAATAAATTAATGGAAATATATGAGAAATATAAATATTTTTTTGTATTATCTTTTGAAATGCATTTAGAGAAATTTCTTTTTTATAATAAATATTTATTCAATATAATTTTCTCACAATCTTTTGTAAATAAAAAAAATATGAAAGTGAATAATAGCCCATATATATTACTTAAGAATTCTAATAAGGAAGAAAATGATTCTATAAATTTTCTATACTCATTTAATTTACTTTCAAGTTTGATAAATATTATATTTTTTCTTATTAATGATAATGATGACTTAAATATTAATTATCTCCAAGAAAAATTGTTTATAAATAAAAATGAAGAAAAAATAAAATTAGAAAACAATATTTTTAATAGTAATAAGAAGGAAAACGATTGCAACAATTATAATAGCAAAATAGTTACAGTTTATCAGAATGATGAAAAATCATGTTATGATAATAATGTAAATATAAATTTAGATAAATATAATACATTATCTTTAATAAATAAGTTAAAAGATTTAAAAATAATTGAAGGATTTGGAAAACAACTAAATCTAAGTAGCTTTTTAATTACTTTATTAAGTAAAATAAATTCTTTAAATAATCAGAAACATAAATTAATTAGTAAAAGTAATATCACTTTTGAAATTATATTTGATATAATAAATGAAAATAAATTTGACATGTTTACTTCTTTTAATTTATATTATATATCAATAAATAAGTACAACAAAATATTAACACATTTGTTTTTTAATTTCTTTTCTTTATATATTTTTGAAGAAAAAAAAAATGATGTATTATTATTCTTAATTAATTATATTATATCTATTCTTTTTATATATATAAATGATGTAGTACATATATTATTTAATTTTTTAAGAGGTAAAAAAAATAAGTCATTAACATTATTACATATTCCTTTTGTTCAAATTATTTTTCTTCGTATAAATTTAAGTAATTATTTTATTTATGAAAAAAATACGAAAACGAATGAACATAAGAAAAAAAAGAATGAAAAGGAACGAAAAGAAAATGAAGAACATAAGGTAAATCATAAAAATGATAATGGATACGAATCTTGTATACACAAAAAAATTAAACATCATAATTTAATGGAAGAATATTCTGATATTTATAAAATGCATATCAAAATAAATTACAAATACTTTTGTTATTATATTCATTTAATAGATTTATTTTTATGTTATTTATGTATCATTATTTTATGTTTTATCATTTTGAAAAAGTATTATAATTTCTTTGTCTCTAATGATATAAATATAAATAAGATAAATACAATGAAAAATAATGATAAAGAGAATAAAAAAAAAAAAAATTTAAAAAAATTATTTTATATTCTATATATTTTTTTAAAAAAAATTAAAAAACTAAATTGGAATGTCGAAAATATTTATAAAAAAAATAACACAATGGCTATTTTATTTAACAAATTTATTAAATGCTGCTATATAAATAAAACATACAAAAAAGAGGAAATGAAGAAAAATAAAAAAAATGAATGGAATAAAATCCACGTCAATCAAGAAAATAATAAAAATTATAAAAATTATAAAAATAATAATATTTCAGATCAAGAAGGTAAAACATTAAATATATTAGAACCATTAGACAATATTTTGAAAAATAATAATATAAATCCTCAAGTAAGTATAAAATCGTGTGAATATTTAAAAAAAAAAAAAATATTATCTTCTGATTTCCTTTTTGAAAAATTTTGTATTATTAATATCTTTTTATCGATATTTGAATTAGTTATCAACAATTTTCACATTTTTGCATATAAATCAAATATATTTTTACCAAAGTTAAATAGACGTGATACAGATAAAAAAGAAAAGGAATATTCTGTTGAACCACACGAACAATTTTATTTAAAGGAAATATATAAAAAGGAGTATCAAAATAATTCTAATAATATAAATAGAAATACATACATATTTTATTATAAGACATATATATTATTACTTTGTATTGATAATTTATCTATTTATATTAGTAAGTTTATTTTTTCCAAATTAAAAATATTATTGTATAATTCTGCATATAGTGTAAAAAATACCTTATTAACATTTTTATCCTTTCCTTTTTTCTTTAATAAAATAAAAAAAAGAAAAAATAATATAATATGCGAGCATTTTATTGATTCTCATATTTCATATTTTTATAATAAATATTTATATTTAATTTGGAAACTCAATAATTGTACATATAGATCGTTTTTATTATTTTTTAATAAAAATTTTTATAATTATAATGATTATATGAAAGATCAGGTTGATAACAGTAAAACATTAGATAATTGTATAACTAACGTGAATAATTATTTTAATAAAGGGAGTGAAATGGAAGATAAATCAAGTCAATATAATGAGGAAAATGGAATAAAAGAAGAAAAATATAAAGAAGAGAGTAAAAATGAAAATAAGGTGAATATTAATAACAATAATCAAAGCTATTTAACTAACTCGCAATTTAATTATAAAAATGAATACAAAAAATATTATGATTTATATAATAATGGATATAGAATATATGAAAATGAATATATTCTTATATCTAATGCAAATATCGAAAAAAATAACATAGCATGTAATCATTCTAACTTTATTTTTAAAAGTTCGAAAAGTCATGATAGGTTTTCTTCATTTACTTCAAAAATTAACTTTTTAAAAAAATTTAAAAAAAATATTAATGAAAAAAATAAAAATAAGTCTATAAAATATTCAAGAAATAATATAAAAAATTTAAGAAAAAAAAATTTGAATTTACATGAGAATCCCATTAATATATATGATGAAAAATATTATAACTCCTACTATTCCTTAAGTTATAATAACCTTTTTAAAAATAGAGAAAATTTTGAAAAAAATTTTATATTAGATGAGAAAAATATTATAAATAAATATGATTTAAATGATAATATAACAAAAAATGAAAATATTTTATCTAATAACATGATTGACAAAAAGAAAAATAACCATGTTTTACTTGTTAATAATATTGAATACATAAATGAAATTAATAATAATAATAATATAGGAAATGTTAATGAAATTAATAACAACAATAAACAAACATTATATAAAATTGCTAGTAATAATAAAAAAAGTAATAAAAATTATAAAAAATTACCACATGTTATTCCATTGTCATTGTTATTTTATGATTTTAATGAACGACATGAAATTGAAAAAGAAAAAATGGATAATTATAATAGTACTATTTTATATATACATAGAAAAAATAAAATAAAAAAGATATGTATTTTAGATCATTTAAAAAAATTAAATAAAAAATGCAAATTTATAAACTATATATCATATAACGACTTAAAATATGAATATATAGATATAAGTAATGAAAAAAATTCTGAGAAAAATGGAAAAAATTATTTAAATAAAAATCAAGTTAATAAAAACGTTTCTAATAATGTGGATGATTTATGTAAAAATGATGATAACAACATCCCTCCATTACAAAAAAAAAACAAATTATACGATGAAGAAGAAAAAAAATATAAAGTAAATAATATATCAACTAACTTATCTTATGATGATAAATTGAATAAAGTTATGACAGATAATGATTCATCATCATTGTGTGCAGAAAAGGAAAATGGAATAATAAGAAAAAAAGAAAACTCAAAAAAAAATCAAAAAATATTTTTAGATATTAATATGAATAAATTAGTATATATATATAAATGTATGCATATACAATGTATGCATAATTTAACTCCGTTATGTTCATTTTTAAGTAATTTTATACCTAATGATTTTAGTATAACGAATTTTTTTAATAACAATTATAATAATTATTTTGTTAATAATATTTTTTTTCACAATTTTTTCTACACGTATGACAATACATTGACACTTTTATTAAATTCCAATAATATGAATTCTATATATTATGATAATAATCTTAAGAATAATCATTCAAATTTAAATTATGATGAACAAAAAAAAAATAAAATTACCACTGTTCACAAAAATAATATATATAATAAATGCCCTGAAAAAGAGAAAATATCAAATGAATGTAAAGATTTTTTTGATTTTCGTTTAAAAAATGTAAAAAAATATGATAATAGCAATAATTATAAAAAAATAATAGAAGATAGTAAAAATAAAAACAATATATTATCAAATGATGATAAACAGAAAAAAAAAGCAAATATGAAATTTTGTGATAAATATAATAATCCAAATGAAGAATTAAAAAATACATTAATCATATCTAAATCAGCAGAAAAATATATTGAAATGATTTTATTATTATTATATAACAACATAAATTTGAATGACAAAGATAAAATAAATGTAAAAGATGAAAAAAGTGAATTTAAGTATCTTTTTGATTATTTAGACAAAAATGTAAATAAATGTATAAGAAAAAAGTATAATTTTATTAATAGATTAACTGACAAGAAAAATAATTTTTCATTTTTAAGAACAGCTGCTATTATATCTCATCCATTTCTACCATTTTATGCACTTATTCATATAAATAATGAAAAAAATATAAATAACGAAGTAGATAAAACAAAATTTCAAATAAGATTATGTAAATTCACAAATAACAATGATGATATTACATATAAATATGGTTCTATTACTAGCGTTATGTGGAATAATTTAGGAAATTTATTAATGATTTCAGATAATTATGGATATTTATATATATATAATATATTTTTGGGTAATTTTATAAATTATAAAATTAAAAAAAACGGTAATCATGTAAACTCAAACATGAACTTTGTTTCTTCAAGTGATTTTAAAAATAAAGAAATAACGAAAAAAAATGTACACTATGATAAAATAAAATATAGGAAAGAAAAAAAAGATAAAGAAGAAAATGAAATTCATGATAATGAATATAATGAAGAAAGTGAAGATGAATATGAAAATGAAGAATTTAGTGAAGAGAAAAATGAAGAAAGTGAAGAAAGTTCACAAAATGATAAAGTTAAAACAAAAGAAAAAAATAAAAAAGTTAAAAATTTCTTTAAAGACAATTTTTTAAAAAATAAAAGAAAATATACCAAAGAAAAAGAAACAAAAAAGGAAAAAGATAAAAAAAAAAGTTATATAATAAAAGAAGCTCTATGCGTTATTAAATTACATGATGAAATTATTGATGTAAAATGTTTAAATGATAATAATTTTTATTTGGTAAGTATAGGAAAGGGAATTAATAAAAAGTCAATTAATAATCACACAACTTTTATTAATTCTGAATATTTGGAAAATGAAGAAGATTTCAGTAAGACAAAATTATCAACTAAAAATTCGACACATTCTAACGAAAATCAAAATAATTCAACCCGATTAGAAGAAAAGAAATTAAATCATTTAGAGTTTAGTAATAATTTATTACTCTCAAATAATACCGAACGAGAATATCAAGACCAAAAGAGAAAAAGCAAAAATACAGAAAAAGATTCTTTGGAATTTCAAAAAATCAATGATCATAATAGCATAAAAAAAAAAACATATGAAAAAGAAAAAAAAAAAAATTCAAAACACGAAGAATCAGATGAAGACAACTCAAATGACAATGATATAAAAATGAATTCTAAAAATGTAGATTTATTTTTAAATCTTCATGTATTTAAAACAAAACAGTCATATTTTAAGTCAAAATTTTTTTATTTTGATCCTTCTAATATAAATATTAATTTTTTTAGAAAAAACAAAAAACAACAAAACATTATTTCAGATAATATTTGTTTATGCATATGGGATTTATGTTCTATTTTAACAAATGAAGAAAAACATTACTTAAAAAATAAAAATTATATAATGAATAAGGGATATAAAAATGATAATAATAAAAAAATAAAAAATTTAGTGTTACATCCAACATTAGTGTGCATAATTAACAATTTACCAAAAAATAAAATGTATTTAAATAAAGATAAAAATTTTGAAAACAATTTTATCACAAGTTTTTGTACATGGTCATCATCAAATCAATTATACAAACATATTAGTCCTTTTGAAGATGTTGAAAAAAAAAAAATGAGAAAAAGTATTAACAAAATATCAGAAGTAACCAAAAAAAAAAACAATTTTTGGAAATTTTTTAAAAATAAAATATATTCAAATAACTTTTCTCAAGATGCATATATTTTTTATGGGGATCAATTTGGTTATATTCATATTGTTCATCTTCAAATGTATAGAGAAATTTCATGTTTTAAGGCTTTTGATTTTCCAATATTTAAAATTTTTATATCCAAAAATTTATATAATAAATTACTTGTTTTAGCAGAAGGAAAAGTAATAATCTATACATATATTTATATATATTTGTACATTATACATATATATATACATATATTTTTTTTTTTTTTTTTTTTTTTTTAATTATTTTTTATTTTTTTTTTTTTATATTTACAGTTACGAGTATATCAAATTAAGTCAGTACTTGAAATATTATTTATAAAAGAAATAGAAATACTACATGACATAACTCCAAAAAAATGTATCTGTGAAGAAAAAATAAATGAATTGAAAGAAAAAAGAAGAAAGGAAGAAAATGAAAATGAAGGTATTTCTATTTTTAATTTATCATACTTTTTATCTTCGAATTATAATAAAAAACAAAGTAATGCAAAAATCGAAGAAAAAATAAATCCTTCAATAAATGATTCACATAACAAAAGTATATTTGAAGATGATAAGAACACAATTAATACTCCACATAATAATTTGAATATTATAGATTTTAAAACAAATAGCACATTATCACTTAAAAAGGCCAAAAAAAAAGAAAAAGGGAATAATTTTTCATCAAAAGATGATATATATAAGAAAGAGGATAATAACTCTTCATTTAATTCTACAACTCAATTAACTATAAGCGATAGTGAAGAAATTGATAAAAACAGTGATAAAGATAATTATCAAAGTGTAATTATTGGAGGCATAAATTTTGGTTATCTAGGTTTTAATTTTTCTAAATTTATGAATAATAAAAAAAAAACAACAATAATAGATGCATATTTATTATCAAATTCTCATTTAGTAACAATATCTAATAATGGAACAATAGCTTTAACAAAAGTCTGATAATTTTAACATTATTTTATTAATTTTACATAAAAATAATTTCTAACATAATTAGACAGAAATTTTTTTAAATAAAACGGTATAAGCATATATTTTCAAATAATTTAAAATAAGTAATTTAATTAAATTTTTGTTAAGGTTAATATAAATGCTTATCAACTTAAAGTGTGTATAATTAAATTTTAAATC